AATTCTTCTTTCAATCCAGATGCTTGAATTTCATAATATTATTTTCATATATTTCGTTGAAAAAAATATTAATTATTTCATAAATATAATTTTCTTTCTTTCTTTTATATAAAGATAAGATCTTACAAGTTTATTTCATATTAAAAAAAATTTAAATATATTCAATATTCATTTCATTTATATAAAATGTTCAAATATATAAATAAAAAGATTATTTAGTAATCAAATGTTATATATTAGTTTTATATATTATGAAAAAAATTGAAATTAATATATATATATATTATTAGGGTCTATGGCAACCATGATTTTCCAAATTCGAGAATTCCTTTATTTCTTTTGAAGTATCTTTCGATATTATTGGCCTATATTTCTGTATTTATTTCTTGTTATATAGTATGAGCAAGGAATTGTGGGCATGTTTTTCATCGCTGTTTTGGTTTAAGGTTCATAATGTTTAGAGGTTGAGGGTATTGGGTGTGCTCATGGCCTCGCTAGTGGCTACCATAGTGGTGTTTGGGCTTGCGTTTGTCAGTGGAGTAGCAAGCTAAGAATTGTCGATGGTACTGTTTCTGGTTGCACTTGCTGCACGGCCGCAAGGCAACCACGGGTGCCGCAGGAGCCACCGCAGCTGGCCGGCACGGCATGAGTGAGCGAAATGGGCGGCAGCCTCTGAGTTGGGAGAAACGAGGAAAGGGCAATTACTCTTTCCGCGTCGGGGTACCTTTTTAGAAGGCCCCTGCCACCGGTTTGGCTTTCACCGCCTTCTTCGCCAGAACCGGCGCCTCCTCCACGGCGTCTTCGATGTCTTCGCTAGAGCTGGACCTGTCGGATGAAGTTTCGCCCTCGGACGAATTTTCGCCGAAGAGCGCGTCGTAGGACTAAACTTCATCCGACAGCTCCCCTCCCAGCTCTTTAATCTCTGCCTCGAGCCTCCGTACCGTGGCTTTGGCCTTCTTGCACTCTGGGCGTGTCTTGTTGAAGATATCCGCGAGGGAAGCGGTTTTCTTCCGAAACATAGCCCGCTGGATAGGAAGGGTTCGCTTGACGGCCTCCGGATTGCGGCTCTTGCACCATAACTTGCTTGCTGGATTGGATGGCACCAGTCCCTTTGCTGTCTTGCAGCTGCTGCTGTGATCATACAAACCTAACGTCAAAATGCAAAGGTTTGATGTAGGGCTGCATGCACGACATGGAGACAAACGCACAAGGCCAAGCAAGCAAGCAATCAGCCCTGCAACCAGTTTTCTGTCTCACCACAGGATGGCTTAAAGGCTTCCTACACCAAATGGAACTGTCACCAATCTTTGCACTTACATCTGCTGCACATCAAACACTAACAAGACAACTCTTTAAAACATGACAGAGTAAGGAACTGTGAGCGGAACCCCTGGTCTAGAACAACACTCAAAAGCCTTTCTTCTCTCCAGGTGCTTCACTCGCTAACGCTTTCGTTCGCGACGAAGTGATCCTTGAGGGCCTCCTGGGGGTAAGTTCAGATTTCCAGCTTGGAGAGTTACCGAACGAACATAACTGCCATTCGGGGTTGCCTCAATACGGCCGCCTTGAACAGGTTTGAGAACATCAGAAGCTTTGTGAAAAACAGTGTGCAGCTGGTTGGCAAGTCAAGGCTGGGCCGAAAAGCCTTCACCACCACGACAACAACAACAACTACTACTACTACTACTACTGCTACTACTACTAGTACTAGTATTAGTACTAGTACTAGTACTAGTACTAGTACTAGTACTAGTACTAGTACTACTACTACTACTACTACTACTGCTACTACTGCTACTACTCTACTACTACTACGCACCGGGCTCGTAGGGCGCCCG